AGCTGCTGCTCTATCTCTCGCTCCAGCAGCAAACATCTACGGCTTACTGCAGCACCAGATACACCGCAGCAGCAGCAGGAGTATTTTTGCTGCTGTAAGTATCGCTGCCGGCTTCATTTGACTTCATTTGTTGAATGCGGCGTGCAGCAGCAGCAGCAGCAGCAGCAGCAGCAGGAGCCGGAGCAGCAGCAGCAGGAGCAGCAGCAGCAGCAGCAGCAGCAGAGAAGGCAGCAAGTCTAGCAGCAAGTATTTTACTTTTATGGGGTAATAGAAAACCCCTGATGCAGCAGCAGCAGCGGACCCCACGCAGATATCTCCCCCCCTCTGCGGTGTCTGTACACCTCAAGCAGCCACAATTAAATATTTTAGGTTTTGCTGCTGCTGCGTTTTTTCTTTCTTTTTGTGTTTTATATAAATCCTCCTCTAGAGATATACAAACTAAACCACCAGCAGGAATATATGTAAGTGCATGCACCGCTACATAACCTTCCTCCTGCTGCTGCTGTTGCTGCTGCTGCTGCTGCTGCTGCTGCTGTTGGTGCTGCTGCAGACAGCAGCAGCAAGTGGGGATGCAGCTGTGCTGCAGCAGCAGCAGCAGCGGAGATAAAACTAAGCCGCAGCAGTCTGTATAGGATTTGTTTGCTGCTGCTGCTGCAGCAGCAGGAGAAGAAAGAAAAGGCGAGGACTGCCACAAAAGTAAATATAAATGAATAAGCTCTTTTTTATTTAAAAATAATAAAACTGATGGAGATAGCTGCTGCTGCAGTCTACACACCAACACCACCACCTGCCTATACACCTCAGGCTGTCCCGCAGCAACACCTTCTTGCTGCGAATCCATACACAGCAGCTGCTCCACTATATCTACCTCTGGGTATATCTTGCTGCTGCTGCTGCTGCTGCTGCTGCTGCTGCTGCTGCTGCTGTGCTGCTGCAGCAGCTGTTTGTTTTTTCTTTCTATCCCTGTCTTTATAAGGGTCCGCATGAAGTGCAGAACGTATGTGGGGTTTAGTTTAGCTTCTGCTGCAGCAGCAAACAGCAGCGGCAGCAGCGGGCATTCAACTGCATGCATGCAGCAGCAGCTGAGTATACACCGCATAGAACAGAATACAAATGGGCAACTGTATGGGTTTACACAGCAACTATACACACGCATAAATGTATATAAAGGAGACAAACAAAAACAGCAGCAGCAAGGAATATAACCCCCCCCATACACCACAGGCGTAGCTACATATATTCTCTCCCTAAACAACACCTCCCCCGGCTCTATCTTTCGGTTCGCTATTGCTGCTGTATGTACACCGCAGCGTACAATAGACACAGCACAACCCTCAATACCAAAAGCTAAATCAAGGGGCCCCCCGGGGGCCCCCCCGGGGCCCCCCCCCGGGGCCCCCCCGTGGGGCCCCCCCGGGGCCCCCCCGTGGGGCCCCCCCGGGGCCCCCCCAGGGGCCCCCCCGGGGGCCCCCCAAGGGGGGCCCCCCTCTCCTGTTTGTGGTGCAGCGAGAGAACGAATGAGGAAGGTATGGGGCAGCTGGGTTTGCTGCTGCAGCAGCTTCTCTTCTGTGTTTATAAGCAGCCGCAGCACGGAGCGGTTGCGGGGGGCGGTGTATAGGGCCCCCCATAGACACTCGCATGCTGCATGCAGCTGATTGAGGTGTATGTACACCTCAGCTAACATAAAAAAACCCTCAGGGTTTCTGGGGTTACGATCCAGGAATCTTATTATTGCTCCTTCTGCTCCCTTTAAACCACCAATCTGCTGCTGCTGCTGCTGCTGCTGCTGCTGCTGTTGCTGCTGCTGCTGAGGTTTCTGCTGCAGCAAATCCTTCAACAGCTGACGCAGCAATAACAACTCGTGCGTCTCACGCTGCTGCGCTGAATCCTCACCCCGCTGCTGCCGCTGCTGCTGCTGTTGCTGCTGCTGCTGCTGCTGCTGCTGCTGCTGCTGCTTGGCCCCTGATTCCTGCTGCCTCAACTCAGCACCCCACAGCGAATCATCTTCTTCTGGCTGCAGCTCTGCCTCTGCGTCAGGAGAGGAGCTGCGGGAGGGGGGAGACAACCCCAGGCCCCCTGTATCTTCTGTGCTGCCCCCTGCTGCTGCTGCTGCTGCTGCTGCTGCTGCTGCTGGTGCTCTTGCTGCTGCTGCTGCTGAGGTGGAAGCCTTCGAAGACAGAGGCTGCAGCTGCTCCGAGCACACGGGGCGGGCGAGGCCCCATACTTGGTTCGTCAGCATCGTTGACGCTGCTGCTGCTGCTGCTGCTGCTGCTGCTGCTGCTGCTGCTGCTGCTGGGGGAGAGCAGCTAATCCCGAACTAAGCCATGAATATATACTTAAATTTATTTTAAATTTATTGACAACAAAAATATTAAATAAATTAGCGTTTCATACTACAGGGGTATCACTGCACCGCAGCACAGCCGACTGGGATGGAGCCGCAGCAAGCGCCGCCCCTACAGCAGTATATTTACAGAGAAATAAATAAAAACAATAAAAAAAAACATTAAAATTAATTATAAATGTATTTTAATTGAATATAAATTGAAAAAAAAAAAAAAAAAGGAGAAAATACACCCCAGCTGTGCATACACCCCAAACGGTGGCTGCAGCGAACCGATGAAACCCTGAAACGAGAGAAAACAAAATATTTATTTTTGTTGTTTTTTTTGGTTTAATTTATTTTTAATTTATTTATTTTATTTATTTTATTTATTTAATTTAATTTAATTTATTTTATTTATTTTATTTAATTATTATTCATAATTATTTCGGCTTACAACCCGCACCGCTCACAGGGAACCACTGGTCACCCCAATGGTCAGGGCCCGCAGCCGACACACAGCAAAACTAATGAAAACAAAATAAACTAAATAAATTAAATAAATTAAATAAATTAAATAAATTAA